AACAGCAGCAAATCCATAGCAGCAGCAGCAACAGCAGCAGCAGCAGCAACAGCAGCAACAGCAGCAGCAGACTTACGGAGTTGCCGTGCTGCAGCAGGAGCGAATATCGAGGGCCCCCTGAGGCACTTCAGCAGCAGCCGCAGCAGCAGCAGCAAACTGTCGCGGCCTTCACAGCTCAGCTGCAGCAGCAGGTCGGGGCGGTATAGGCTCTGCAGCACCACCAGCAGCAGCGGCTCCCACTCTGCTGCTGCTGCTGCTGCTGCTGCTGCTGCTTCTGCAGCCGCAGCCGCTGCTTCGTCAGCCATCTGCTTCTGCTGCTGTTGCTGCTGCTGCAGCTGCAGCTGCGTTTGCTGCTGCTGCTGCTGCTGCTGCTGCCGGTTAGGGGTGGTCCTTGGGAATACAGAATCTATTACAGGCTGAAGCCAAAGGCCCCCGGTTTCCTCTTGCTGCTGTTGCTGCTGCTGCTGCTGCTGCTGCTGCAGTTGCTGCTGCTGCTGCTGCTGCTGCTGCCGTGGCATTTGTGTTTGCAGCCACTTCATAGAAGAGTTTTGCGTCTCCCGCAGATGCTGCTGTGTATTCTCCCCTTCTCCCTGCTGCTGCTGCTGCTGCTGCTGTTGCTGCTGCTGCTGCTGCTGCTGCTGCTGCTGCTGCGGCTGCGGCACGTAGGCCAGAAACAGCAAGCTGCGGTAGGCAAGGGGGAACCTCAAAGCTAAGCGCGAGAGCAGCAGCAGCAGCCTTTCTAGCAGCAGCAATCTGCTGCCTCTGGGTATCTCATCGGAGCAGCAGCAGCAGCAGCGCAGCCGCAGCAGCAGCAGCAGCAGCGTCCCCTTGAGCTGCCTAGACACCGCAGCTTTGAACGAAGGCAGCAAACACACAGCAGCAGCAATTGCTGCACTTCTCTCGGCGCTCCCCAGCTCCATACCCACCAGCAGCTGCCACAAAACTTCTGCAGCAGCAGCAGCAGCAGCAACAGCAGCAGCAGCAGCGGCAGCAGCAGCAGCAGCAGATATAGTGTTAATGCCCCATGTGCAGCAGCAGCAGCAGCAGGAAGAGCTGCACCGAAGACTAGTAGCAGCAACACAGACAGCAGCAGCAGCAACGGCAGCAAACGCAGCAGAACCACTGAGAGGAACAGCAGCAGCAGCAGCAGCAGACACAGCAGCAGCAGCGGTAAACGCAGCAGCAGCAGCTACATAAGCAGCAATAGTGAAGGCAGCAACAACACCCGCAGCGACAGCGGCAGCAGCAGCAACAGACACCACCAGCAGCAGCAACAACGACAGCAGCTGCTGCTGCAAGGGCAACGGCAGCAGCAACAGCAGCAACAGCAGCAGCAGCAGCAGCAGCAACAGCAGCAGCAGCAGCAGCAGCAGGAAGACCTGCCTTTTCTCGTCTGTGGTAGCCCGTCAACAATTTGCGGATGCTTCAGCAGCAGCTGCAGCACTCTGCTGCAGCTTTTTTCCCACTCTGCTGCTGCTGCTGCTGTTGCTGCTGCAGCAGCTGCAGCAGCATGAATGCCTTTGGTGGTTGCATGCTGCTGATACTGCATCTGCTGCTGCTGCTGCTGCTGCTGCTGCTCGACAAGGAGACGCGCCCTGCTGCTGCTGCGGATGTGCTGCAGCAGCAGCAGCACCGCATCTATTGCTGCGTCTAGGGGCTTTGCTGCTGCAGCAACATCAGCAGCAGCAGCACCAAGATGAAGGAGAGAGACAATGCAGCTATCTGCTCTATCTACGACAGACAGCAGCAGCAAACTGTCTCGAGCTGAGAGAGCAGCAGGAGCCTTTCGCTGCTGCTGCTGCTGCTGCTGCTGCTGCTGCTGCTGCGCTGGCAGACAGCGCAGCAGCTGCTGCAGTGCAGCAGCAGCAGCAACTTGCTGCACAGATACCAGCACCGAAACGCTCCACACATCATCCCCAGCACTGCTGCTGCTGCTGCTGCTGCTGCTGCTGCTGCTGTCTAAGGCATCCAGCAGCTGCTGCGTTTCTCTTCTATAGTCAGCTGCGCTGCGGGCTGCAGAGAGGCCCATAAGGGCGCGCTGGAGGGGCCCCTTCATCACTGCAGCAGCAGCAGCAGCAG